GTTGGACTTTGTGTGGAAATCTGGATTTATAAAAGTGTGGTATAAATATCAAAAATCCGTCCGGGTCACGAACCATCGTGAGCAGAAGGAAAAGCCAAGATTAATAGCGCTTCAGTTTCTTGGACTTTCGAATATCCAAAGCCGAAATGAGTAGACGCGCATAGAAATAATAATATTAAGTTGTTTTTTTCATACAGTATCAATATTTGTATAATTAGGTTTTATTCTTGGTTTTCTCCTTCGTTTTGCGTGTAACATTAATTTTATTATTATTTGATGCCATCCCACGGTAATAATAGTATGCCGGGCAGAGCATATTATTAATAGGCGTACCCTGGATGACGGACAATATAGAGCTAGGCTTCGCTTAGGATCAGGCGTTCTAAACCCTATTGTGTCCTACTTACTAAGCTCCCTTTGAACTAGAGATATAAAACTTTCAGTAGGTATCATAAAATGGTTCTTACTATACTTAGGGCGTCGGTTTATATGGTAGTATATATATACATCTAATATTGTAAAGCTTAAGAAAATATTTATTTTGTATAAACGCGCTAATTTCAGGAATTAGGTACTGGTTCGAATTAAAACATTATTGTGTTAGATATACCATTTACTGAGAAAGGCGTTAGGCTTTATAATATCCTCGCTGCGACCAATAAGAGCGAAGAAATAGTGGAAAACTTGGAAAAATAGCGGAAAATGTTTTATCGAGGGTCACGTTGCGTGTGCTGTGAAAAAGGTTCAAGGAACCAAGTAATGTATTTAAAATAGGAATCGTTCCTCTTTAAGTTATCTTTAAAAAAATTTAAGATTTGCAACAACCGTTTTAATGATAATCAAATTTGGCGAAAGTAATGCCTTTTTTTACAAATTATTCGTTAGTGTTGTATCAACATCATAATATTAATCATTAATATTAACTAATCTTTAATATAAAAGAGTTGTAAGTTATATAGATTTTAAGAGTATACACCTCACAAGAATAAAATATATCCGAACTAAAAGTAAAACAATAGCTCTAAGAAAATTCGCTCTTTCCATCAAACAAATAGAAGCAAAGCTTCAAACTTTATTTCGCTGAAAATTCTCTTGAATAAAATTACAGGAGGTGTATAGAGGAACTTTCTTCCATAGTTTTCACAGATTTCCGAAGTTAGCCACTAGAGTAACGCCAGCGACGGAGTGCATCTCCCAAATGCGATTTATATTTGTAAAGGCAGTGCGCCCTGAGACCACAGTAAACACATTTGGTCGATTCCGTTTGGCGGCAAGGCGTGATAAACTTTGTTGACAATGACTGATGCAGCGACATGGCTTCGGCAATAGTGCAATTTTCGCACTTTAACTTTCACATATGTGTAGAGATGTAACTTTGTCTTGTAAAACCACAATCTTTGTATCATTGGTAGATAAACGACAGTAGTTAAATTGCTGGCTTAGCCTAAAATTGATATCTACGTTATCGTATATATCTTTGTTTTTAATTTGAGACATAGTTTGTTAAATATAGCTTGCACACATTTTTAATCTGTTCTTACGTCTTTTGTCAAAACACCTGAGTCTCAAACCCACGACGTGCTAGAGTCGGTGCCGTGGCTACATTGCATAATCTTACCTTATTATATTAATGATAATAAAATCTGCCCGTACCTGTAATGAGAAATAATGGAAAATCAATAAACACATTCTCTGTTCATATATACTTTTATAATATATGCTAAAAATAACATAAATTACAAATCTTTACTATTATCAAGATTTCAAAAATGTGTAGCGTTTAATTAATAAAGCTACTGTGTCAATTGGTTAGAATATTTTTTTCAATCTTAAGATATTACTATTTACTTACTATGAATCGTTTTCGAACTAAGAAGGAGTTAATCGTTTTTAGATTCTAATAACGTAAATTTTCGTAACATGTATTTAAAGAAGAAACACCATGTCACAAGAATATCCATTAATAACATAATACTCTTAAGTTTCAGCGTTAGTAGATAAGGCTTTTATTACGTACGTATAAGGTTTTATATGTCTTTAATTAAATGAGATCTTTGTGGATCTATCGCGAAATAGTAGGTCGCTATTTGTAACAATAACTCGAAGATGCAGACGTGGTGCAGGGACGCGGAAACTATCTTGGCACAGCGCCGCAGCCATGCTGCCTTCTATTAAGTGCCAACAACTGCAGCGTTTACCCTGTCGGTTATACCAGACGATTTTATGATCTTTATAAATTCGGGGTGTTGTTTATTGCGGAATCTACATACATGGCCTTTGTCTTAAGCCTTATATACGCTGTGCTGAACGACGACACTATTGCTTATAATTAATACCCAAGTTGATTTATGGCTAAAGCCGAAGTTTCAAAATTAGCACAGTGGATCAACTTTATTGATTACATTAAACTTATTTTGATTTGGTTATCTATTTAAGTTCAAAATTAATAGTGAATTGTTAATACAAATGTCACTGTTAAGGCGAAAACTATAGAACTTATTTTTAAGCACGACAGAGTTGCATCCGAAACGTCGCGTCGTAGTTAAAAAAAATAAATTAACTAATATAGTTAGCGATTCAAACCGTTAAAGTGATTTATTTAAATGTGTACTACCCGCGTAAACAAGCATATTCTTTATTTAAAATTTCAGTTTTAAATAAGACTAGGTAGAATACCTACTTCCCTTACTTGTTTCTATAGCTTAAAAATTACAAAAACCAATTGGAAATAAAGGTTCACGTTCCATACCCATTTACCAATTTGAAAGTTAAAAAAACAGTGTTAAAAGCTATCGCATATTGTATTTAGCCCTACGCTATAAATCGTTGAGAAAAGTAAACAGCGTCGACTGCAATAAAACCTGTATACTAGCTTTAACAATAACCAGTAGGAGCGAACAGCACAGGGCAATGATTGAACAGTGAACAATAGTAGAACGTGTTTGAACGAAGCGAATTAATATCCACGTCGGATTCAGTGGGATTTTTTGGGTTTACGACTGTTTTGGTTTATCCCGCAGTTTCATGAGTGGTAATTTTTTATCGCTAAGCGTACCTGTACTACCGATGTCTATTCAAAAACAAAATCTATTGTCCTACTAACGACTGGCTTTCCTCAGCTTAGTGAGAAGAGTGAGAGCCTTATTTAATTCATAAAAAAAGTATTTTTACAATGTTACAATGACAGACAACTATCGGCTTCATTTGATATACCCCAGCTTATAATAACTCATTAAGATGAGTCGTCAACCTATTTTGGCTTTGGATAGTTGGAAATCCACTGACTGAAATCGAAACGCCAATCTATTCCATTTGTTCCTGTGTGGTTCGTGACACGGATGGAATTTCGATATTACCACCGATATTTCATATATAGATTTTAGAAGTACCAGAAGAAATAGCTGTTTCAGATAATTATAAATTATTAAAACCATGTTGGATCCATTGCGGATCGATCGCATGGGATCCCCCGTTCCCCATCTTGTTAACTATAAGAGAATGATTGCTGTCACTGTTTTCAACCAGACCTATAATATGATTAGGTGTGCATGTATTTTATTGATATAGAATCTCGTTTTATCAAAGGTAAGCTTTTTAAAATATTTCGAATCGCATTATATTAACTAGGTTATACGAAATAAGTAAAGGCATGGAATGACTCAAAACCTATCATTTGTATCGGCTGTTTCATTAAAAACGGACTTTTGGTGTGCTATTTCAGAGCTAGTGTCGAGTTCAAATGACAGATGTCAATGCCATTTATCAGGCTTATACAGAGTTGGAGCCCGATCAATATCGAAATTGTAGGTAAGACGAAAGCCATGTCTATTAGCTGGTGTATTTTTGGTATTCATGGTAAAATTATAGGCAGTTTTAGCTTATTTTAACGTGATCTAACGTACCTTTATTTTAGTAGTACATAAGAAAATAAAAAATATCAGTAATTCAATATTTCAGTGCAGACATAAAGAAAGAACACATGTTTAAACGTACTTAATTAAGAAAAACGTTAAATTACCTCGCTTGTTAGCTCGGTCTCTGATGGGGCTACAAAATTCAAGTCTATACTAACTAATTAATTCTCGTATCAGAGCAATGTTTATTATCTGTATTAATTTATAATTGTTTGTTATATTCGATATGGCTTTCTATTTATATTCTATTATTTTCTGAATAAATGAATTTCTATTTCTGTCCAGCTGTAGATAACAAAAATAATTCCCCCATCGAAGGGTATGGGTGCGAACACATTTCTGTGTCCGCTTCATTGATCCGTTCTTTAACAGGCAATTAGTTGATCAGTCTTCTGTGTCCTATCTGACCAAAACAATTTTTTGTTTCCCAGGGATTCGAACCCCGGACCTCTCGCGCTTAACTCAATGACTAACTGAATAGCAGTCAGCATTAGGCTAAAGAAGCGGAAATGTGTTTAAAGGTAATATTAAATAAAATATTTGAATAAAACACTTTAAAGGTTTAAAACGTGATAAATATTAGTTAGACTTATTTGAAAATTTATTTTAATTTTGAATACTGTCTGTAGTTTATACGAGTAGTACACATTTAAATAAAACGACGTTTTGGATGCTTTGCAGCAGCCGTGGTCACGGGGAGACCGTCTCTGTGTCATTTAAATAAAACACTTTAACGGTTAAAACGCATAATATATATCAATAGATGTATAGTTGTAGTGTAAGTGACAAACTAAACGCGCGTAAACTCTGTAGTTTGTCTGTGCAGTATTGAAATAAAATAATAAAGTATAATACAAGACGCAAAACAGTGGTGCCTACAGCCGCTTTTAATTAAACCGTGGCATACAACATCATTTAATATTCTTATAGCGTTAGTCTAATCCAAAGGGTAAACTTCTATGCAAATCCAAATTAATCCACTTGCAACGTGGATTCCCAACGAGCATAACGGCTCCATTCGTTACTGCACAATTTCCCGTACAAGTCGTACACAAACTACGTTTCCGTAAACAGCAATTTTGCCCGTTAATTTGCAGTGTGCATTAGGAACGTTATCTGCCGGGTGTCCGGGTTGTCCCGGGACTTCGCAGCCGTCTCCGGGACAAACAAACTGAGACATAAATCAACGTCAGCATACCACTTTATCTCGCCTTCGAGCTTTGCCTCCGGACGCGATCCTTTAATGTGTTTGTTCTGTGTTGGAAAAACTTTCTTTGATAACTGTTCTATCAGGGCACAGTTGGACAATTCAGGCGATAAGAAGGAAATATGAAGACTTTTTTTATTTTAAATAAAAATATAACGGAGACTAAAATATACTGTCTGTAGTTTCCACAGGTATTACAATTTAAAAAAATGTTAAACGGTTTAAAACGCGATATATATTGTTACTCTCCCCGTCACCACGGCTGCGGCAAAACATCCGAAACGTCGGCCCGCAGTTATAATAAATTCTAAATAAGTTTAACCTATATTTATCACGCTTTAAACCGTTAAGGTGCTTTAAATTAAAAATAACGGTGACTGAGAATTTTTATGTCAACCTAATCTAGAATTATGAATTATGCGCTCAGGAACTACTTGTTACAATTGACAAATTCTTTTTGTTTTGGTCCCACTTTGCCTAATCAGTTAGTTTATTATTATTTTAAATAGGTATATTAAACAGTATTATTATTAAAACAATTTTTTTCTCTTTATTTAGAAATATATAAAAAAGCATAATATTAACAGTTGTAAAAGTCTATAATCACATGTACGATAGTTATTGTAATATTAAAATGTCGAGTTTCTGAAACTAATAAAATATTAAACTTTGTCTGCACCCCGCGCCATGAAACGCATAACGGCGTAATACAGGGGCAACATTATGCATATTGAGTACATTAAATGCCGCACAACATTTAAAATGTTTATAGCAAATATTTACAAAAGCTAAATGAATGCCGTGTTGCACGCGGCAATTTGTTGTTGACAATAATTACATTGACACTTCGAGTCGAGCGCAAAACCGTTAGTTAACTTTTTGAAAAGTTCGCTATATAAAATACGGTACAAGCGACCACTTGACCACTTTACACGCGTAAAGTAACAGTTAAAAACGAGACATAATATATAATTTAAATAAAACACTTTAATCGTTTAAAAGACGATATTAAACTAATTTTAATTTTATTTTTAAAATCGGCTGGACCTTGTCCGAACCGTGCTTTTGCAACAGCCGTGGTCACGGCGAGAGGTAGAGAGAATAATTTTAAACGTTGAACTAATATATATCGCGCTTTAAACTGTTAAAGTGTTTTATTTAAATATGTACTACTTGCGTAAACTAGAGACATATATCAGTTAATCTGTTCTTAACTCCGACTTGTCGTTTCGGATACTTTGCAATATACAGCAAGGCCACGTTTGACTAGTATATTTCACGTTATAACAAATATTTTATTCTAAGTGTTAGTAAGGGTAAGTCGAGAAAGTCGCCTGAATTAAAATTAAAATAATACAGAAATATATAATTATACTCACAGACTTAGAAACCTACTATAAATTATGACACAAAGGTACTTTTAACGGTTTTAAACACGAAATATATTTATTTTTGACTACATACCAAGCTCAACTACAGTACCTTGTAATTAATGTACGTTTAAGGCATCAAAATTAAGCAAACCTATTTTAGTAACATGAAAATGAACACTACAAATGAAATCTCCATCAATAAATTAACAGACAGTCTTTAAGTGCGTCTACACGAACTCATAAATAACAAGTGTAGGTTGTGTACAAATGAATTTCTTGAAAAGGTCATGAAAAATATTGGTTCACCTTAGGTGTTTCGTCACGCGATAGCCAAAATATCTCATAGATTATTTAATAACATAATTTCCGACCATCGTCCAAATGTATCATTTATATATTAAAATAATAGAATCCGTCTTCGTTTTATTTGGTCACTTTCGCAGCTCAATGGTTAAGACTGTTTCGTAACATTCAGGTTTCGAATCCTGGTCAAACAATTCGTTAATCGGACAGTGTGATTATCTTGGCTGTAAATATAATATAATATAATAGAGGGTGTACTTCCGAAAAGCGCATACCGCCGATCGATCTGAAATTTGGTATACTTATGTATTTTGACCTCCTAATCACGAATACCGTAACGAAAATTGGCGCAAACGCCCTTTTGAATATGAAAATCGAAAAAAACCTCTTTACGTTCAGTGTGCCTAATCACGCATTTCTAACCAATGTAGACTATTTGAGCTTTTCCGGAAAAGGGTGTGTGTATGTGTTTGTGTGTAACCATTTTTTACCCATAGCGATCAAAATTCGTCAAAGCGACGGAGGTTGCATGGTCGAAAAGCGCAGACTATTCGCGTTATCTACAATGCACCACGTGGAGGTTGTCTGTCTAGCATTCCTGGCCCTGATAAGGGCCGTTTTGTGTGTGTGTGTGTGTGTGTGTGTGTGTGTGAGTGTGAGTGTGATTTTCATTGATTCACCAATAACCTAAACTTTGCACATGTCCGCTATACAATTTCAACTTTGTGGTGATTTTCCACGGTGGTACATGAACTCGGTGAATACTTTTTGTTATTGCAATCAAACTCAGTGAATGATTTCCGCTATAGTAGTTGCATTTTCCATTTACTTTCGGCTGTCAGATACAAACTGCGTATATTTTTCTTTATATAAGTCGAAGTCCGAGAATGTTTTTTACTGTAATAGTCGGCCTATGGAAATATTTGCCGCTTTTGTCGATAGACTTGAGATCTATTCCCGCTATAGTAGCCTAATTCTCGAGTGGTTTTTTGTTCTCCTAATCGACCTGGGAATATTTCCCGCTGTAGTAATTCCATTTCGTGAAAATTTTTTGATTAGGCACACTGAACGAAAAGAGGTTTTTTTCATATTCAAAATGGCGTTTGCGCCGATTTTCATTATGATATTCGTGATTAGGAGGTCAAAATACATAAGTATACCAAATTTCAGATCGATCGGCGGTATGCGCTTTTCGGAAGTTTATCCATAATAGAAATGTATCCTTCATGCCCAACAAGGGAAAACGGGATTTTACTTTTTATTATATTTAAAAACAATGATAACTTATAGAAAAAATATTCTTTATAAGCTTTTCGTATCCGAAATCGAAGCCGATCCTGAGTGAAGCCGAACAGCAAGCACACGTCGAGTTGTAGTATAAAATAAATAAATTAATATATTTTGAGTTTTAAAAGTCGTTGTTTAAACTACAGACAATACTTGACCAGTCTTTCAATAACATTTCCAATATTTTTTTGCTCAAAGTTGATTGAACGATCAGAAATATTAAATATTTTGGATTTCTTATTCAAATGGGAACAATACATATGGCCTAAGGACCCCATACCTAAAATCTTTGATGAGATTGAAGTTAACAGCAAGGGCATCACCCTAAACGCCGAAGGAGATGTCAGTCAAGGACGTAATCAATACTTTCAACAAAGCTTTGCACTTAGACGAGGCAGGGGAGCTTACATTTGTTAATTTTTCCACGTTTTCATATACTGGAAGTGTAGGGGATGAAGATTGTTTGGCGTTCTCAGCTGGATGCTATTAGATATTCCAGCAAAGGGATTTACGAAATAGGGTTTTAGTGAATAGCTTTGAAGGATGAGGGGAAAGATTTTATGTATTATTACTCTTTCAAGTATTTTACTTTTATTGCTTGATAAGGAAGTTTTATCCAATAGAATAGTGTATAGGGGAAATGGTGAAATTAAACAAGAAAATTCTTATAATATTTTCCCCGTGGCCACGACTGCTGCAAAGCATCCGAAACGTCGGGCCGAAGTTAAAAATCATTTTTTAATAAGTTTAACTAATATATTGCGTTTTAAACCGTTAATTTGTTTTATTTAAAACTTATAATATATCATAAACATATATTAAGCGACATATAACGTGACACAGGCAAGATTAGCAAATACTATTATTACCTATGGCATTACTATCCCAAATGAAGTACCGAGTCTGTGGTCATTGAATAATTGTACTTCTGACGCTTTTTATATCATTGACATAATATACATGTTAAAGCTGTATGTCCGGCTTTAACTCCGAAACTACTGAACTGATTTAAATGCAATTTGGTACACAGATATTTTAGAGCCTGGAAAAGGACATAGGCTACTTTTTAATGCCAAAAAGGGTTGATAGGGCATGAAACATTAGTAAGTTAGAGTAGGAGTGATGTGAGGTGACAGTGTTGAGGCAAATTAGCACTTATAACATAGATTGACTGCCTTAAATGCGCCCTCACTTAAATTAATAAACAGTCTCAATAATCAAAAATTCTACCCCAAGCATTATTCCACGCGGGCGAAGTCGCGGGCACAGCTAGTGCATAATACGTTTTCTAGTAATTAAATCAAAATCAAAAGCAATAAGTCAAAAATACAATGTTAAAAAAATAAGAGGTAACCTTGCAATATTGAGTCTACATGGAATAAAAAGTGACGGGAACACGAAAATTCAGACTCAATTAACATTTTATATACGAAATGTGTGACCAGTGGTCACATGAAGCGGTATCCGCATAAAATTGGGAATTTGAGTGGATGTAATTGTCTACCAAAATGTTCATTTCGATTCTGATATTTCATGCACAAGTCAATACTTCTGAATGTGAATATTTATTGCTCATTGTCTCTAGTGTTGTTGCAAACGAACGAGTGTGGTATTTTTTTAACGCCAAATACATGTATAGGAAAAGTTATCTACAAATCATAGGATTTCGAAATATTATATTAGGAATTAGTTTCTTTAGACAGGAGATAAGTGCTAGATGACCAACTTTATGACAGATCTATAACATCCAACTATGAAGTGTCTACCTATTATAGCTTTGGACATTCGGAAACATGAAAACTAAAAAAATATAAAGTCTCAGTGTGTTCCAGTTTTTTTATATTAAACAAAATTCTGTGACACGAATAAAAAATCTCAAACAGTGGTGAGCTGAGAGAGAGTAAAAAATACTTTTTCCCTTTTCAATATCAACGATGTATGGAAACGAACATACAACAACGTAGAAAGCTTAAACAAAAATTGTGAACTAACGCCTGAACAAGAATGCAACGAAAAACAGTTGACAGTGATGGATGCTGTTGGCAAGCTTGCTAACACTAACTGGATTTTTGAGCAGAGGGCAAATTGGATAACCTTTGTTGTTAAGGTTGCTTACAATTGAAGGAATGAGAATAAACAAAACTCATATCTGCTGGTTGTGGACGGCACCACTTTGAACAATAACCACAGTGCTTGCATAAAAAAAAGATAAAACTACTATTTATTTTTTAAATGTTTAAGTGATAACACGTAATGGTTTAATACTATATAATCAAGTCTTTATTACCGAATCGGTCACAAATTAATGACATTATGAAAAACGATGGTATTTTTAAATAAAACAAATAACTTTGTTTTTATATATACAATTTTTTTAATTTCATCAAAACTAAAAGTAATTTTACTAGTAACATGGCATTTAATTATGTATTAAGAACTCTTTCCTTCACGAATATAATTAAAGCTTCTGTCGGAAGCTTTTAGATTCTATAAACTTTATATAATAATGCGCATAAGAAGCTGTTTCTGGGAAGAACTTTTACCCGTTTATTTTCTCTCTTGAGAAATATATTCCTTCTGAACTATTAATATATGCTTCTAGACACAACAACGTAATACTCCTTAATGCATTCCAACAACACAAGTACACACTGGTGGAACACAATATTTTTTAACACGAAATCCTTTATTTTCTATCCTAGTTTTATTTTATTCATTGTTTGAATAAGCGAATATATATTAAATAATAGTATACCTTATGTTTATGTAACGTTTCTTTGTAAGTTATTCGAGATTTATGCAGCGTACAACGACAACGACCAAGTTTATAAAGCGAAAACGCCAAAAATTCTTACGATCACTTCAACATTCATGAAGCCCTTAAAGACGCCTTGTTTCTGGGATCATTATTTTTTGCTATTATAAAACCACATCAAACAAGAGACGGCAAAGTAATTTGTGAACTCCACCTACCCACCCTCGCTCTTCATTCCACGCTTCAGGCAGAACACATTTAAATGAAAGAAGAAACGATTATTTTGATTATACTTTCCATCACAAAACACAAAATTGCCGAAACGCAACATTCTGCCTGGAGCCAATTGTTTTTATTTTATCGGACTCTTTGTATTATCCAATCATTAATTTTCAATATATTTTTATTAATGACCAATTTGGCCGGGTAATCTCAACCGCATCTCCATTATGAAACAAGTTACTAGAAACTATTTGGGAGTGTAGCAGCTTCCAAGTAGAATCCTGTACGTAACCGACCAAGGTCTCTCTGAGATACAAATTCCCAACTAACCAAGTACGGAAGTTGAAGGATTTCGCAGTCCAGGAAACACAAGACATTTTATAGTCCAAACTAATTTATGCTCCGTTCTTGGAGTGTTAAACAGACACAAGAGTATAGCAATATTAGATTTTGATAACAGAAACTAATTAGTGAAATGCAAAAGCTTTCATCCAATAAAGCTGGTTAATGCAGAATAATGCATCGGGATTAACATTTGCCGGGTATTATTATCATACGTAAATTCAATTTACTCGTAGCAATGTGAACTGTTTCACAATAAAGGTTACACAGTCTACAAACCTAGATTTACTGATATCGCGTCGTAATCAATCTTGATTTTGCTGTCGCTGAGTTTTATTCACGCCGATAGCTAGAGATTCTCATTTTATTCGAAGCTATTTTTCCAAATGTCAGCTTAATTTTAACGATTTCCGTTAAGGTTCTATTAACTAATTCACCATTATTTGTCTGAATGTAATAACACAAAAACATCCCGTTAACAAAAAAATAGAATTTATTATTTGCTCTTTATGATAAACTTGTTGTTAATTTGGTGACAGAGTCTGTCACCAAATTAAGTCAGTTATCCAATTAATATTTTATGTTTAACTACATTAAAAGCGAAAAGATTGTGCATTTGTTATTGAAAAGCAATATACAAAACCACTACAATAACAATTCTTACCTTATGAATGGGTGTCCCCCAGAAATCATTGAGGAATATATTCGATATTGGTGTTTGGGGTCGTAAGTCTCTGTTCTCTTTAATGGCACTTATATCATCAAATACAAAACCGCAGTACAGACAATTATGATAAACTAATATGCAAGCTAATACGAGAATAGCTCCTAGCCCTCTCCTAGGAGGTTCCGGTAAGTCCTCTACTACTGGTGGAGAGATCGTCGAACGTCGCTTACTGCGACCAGTTCTAGTCTTTACTGCTGTTACTACTCCACCAAAACGACATACTCCACTCACGCGATCCATACTGAATCAGATTATCATTCTACCAAAAATCGAGTCAAAAACACAACACTATGCATATTCTTAAAATCCTAGCGAATCCCATTGATGCCGACGGACCCTCATCAGTCATCACCCAGAATAACATCCACGTTCACATACAGAAGACGTATTCAGAATGTTGCTACACGATTTCGAGTTTAATGACCCTCTAAATACGATATAACCACTACCGATCTACGAAGCGTGATGCTATTGTGTTTGTTTACGCCACAACAAACCACATGTCACTTTTTTTTAACGGGATCGTTTAATTTGACATTTATGTTTTTTGTTTGACGTAAGCAACGCGGACACACCCGCTCATGTGGCGGATTCACCGAGAACTGCCGAAGAGCGACGAGCGAATGCCGCGTCGAGTCACGTGACCAGTCATTTTACTGCGGGTCGTTTTAAATCACGCATGCGCCTGTTTCAACTGGCGGCAAAATAAATATTAAAAACAATTCGCGTCTTTGTTTTTTCTCTGTTCGTGAAATGATTCTTAAATGTTCTTAAAAGTAATTAAACTTTTAAAGTTAACTTAAGATTTCCAGTTGAATTAAATAAATATTAATGCTATCTAATATTTTGCTTGAAAGAGAAATTAAGTAGAGTTAATATACACGATGAAAGTCCTAGATAAAAAGAGAAAACTTGAGAGATAAACACAATATTATCTGTAAGGACTTGACCTCACATGACACACAGCGGCGCATGCCTGCGGGGGTGAATGAGTAGTAGGGTGAATGTTGATGACGACAGTTTGGCTGAGTTTCGGGCAAGAGAGGATAAAAAGATGTGCGTATGGGGACGACCTCATTGTTTCCTTATACACTGAAATTATTAGAAGATACGAGAGCTTTTTCTAAAGACGCCTTTTATGCCTTACACTACATTGCTTTTAAAATATATTAACATTGAAATAACTCTAGCGCACGGTGCAAACATAACGGTTTATAACGCAAACTAACTTGTTTAATTAAGCTGGCAATGTCACATCAATATTTGTTGATGTATAATGCGTTTTAAGCATTTTTATTAATATGTAGGTGAACCACGTAGGTGAACTAAAGATACTATAATATTATAATACTCCTTTTGTGATATAATTTTTTCTATACATTTACTATAAAATAAGCTGTGGTTATATTATATGTTTTATATTATTAGAACTTTAATTTAAAGATAGACATATAGTAATTAAACACACTTAGACTAGTTCGGTAACAGGAATTTGGAATAGGCACTCGAGTCCCAGCACCGGAATCTAACAAGAGTTTTTTAGAGGTCAGGCGAGGGACATCACATGCAGGATCCTTTGGGAACGATAGCCCTGAAAAACTGGGGACAATGTGATTGATGAGGAAACGGCTTAAAGCCAGCACAACGAACCATTACGACTTAACCAATGACTCTCAGGTGGTACCGATTTTTTGCTCTGATTTATTATTTTGATATTAACAACCCGTAATTTTAAATTTTAATGTCAATAATTTCTGTCAAATATATCTATATTTTTTGCGCCTAGTTAAAATTTAATGTGTGTTTTCTATTGAGTCTATGACTAATATATAATGCTTAAGAGTTTGTTTGTTTGAACGCACTAATCGAAGAAACTACTGTTTCGAATAAAAAAGTATTTATGTGTTGTTTAGAGAATTTATCGACGCGACTTTTAAGAGCGAAAAGACGGTGGAAAATCTGAAAAATTAACGGTTCAAGATACCCAAAAAAATATGTTTGAAAGAATAACTATTCCACGTGGACGAAGTCGCTAAAGCTAGTGATGAATATATTTTAATACCTCTCAGTTACCCTGATTGATGGATTAATTCGCTCCTTCATTAAAAGCTTAGTGATGTTACTCTAAATCTTCACCTACGCAGGTATCATTACGATTCTCAGTTATTTCTCTCAGCGTTTCTGAAGCCAGTGGGTCGATAAGGAACGATCTGTCCAGTATAAAGAGACCTGCTACACTTCCCGGATACCTTTTACACAATGATAGCAGCGAGGAAATCGAATATAAAGCCAGAAGTCAATTTAAACTGGATCATAATAATTCAGCGGTAGAGCAATTTGCTTGTGGGAAGGGGGTAATCGGACTCTGACTACAAATCTAGGTGTCTGCAGATATTTCAGAATAATCGTTCTATTATGTAGTTAAGTAAATCTTATTCGCATGTTATTATTTGCCAGTCTCATTTCTTTTACTTTTTTTTTTGCTTTTTTCAAACAGGTTAGATACAACAGAGGTTGAATTTAATTTTAACTTTCATTCTCATTAAAATACTGTCTATAGTTTACGCGCTTTAACGGTTTAGAACGCGCTATATTAGTTAAACTTGTTTGAAAATGATTTTTAGCCGTGGTCGCCCCGTGACCACGGCTGCTGCAAAGCATCCGAAACGTCGGGCCGAAGTTAAAATCATTTTCAAAAAAGTTTAACTAATATATCGCGTTTTAAACCGTTAAAGTGTTTTATTTAAATTTCATTCTTATTTTTATAATTTAGCATAAATATCAAAATTGTGATTGTACGCATATATTTCAAATAAATAAGTCTTTTATCGTACATTAGTTGCTTTATTTTTATATCTACCCTTTTTATGATAGAGAAAGACAGTCAAGCATGGGGCTCACCTTTCACCACCTAGATGTTATCATCCAAACAAGATGCGCTGTTTACTTATTTTGACTTTGGATATTCGGAAATCCACTGACTAAAACGCGATGAAACTTGACGATTTTTTCATCTCTGCACTGTTCTTCGTGACCTGGACGGATATTCCTACCAGCCATTTAATATCCAGATTTCCAGACAAAGTCCACCATGTTACAAAAAATTCTAAATTTATTAGAATTATAGGGATTCAAACCTATATATAGACTGTCATTATCTACGGTTTAACTGCGTATAGAGCGAGAGGTTCTGATCTTTTTTTAGTCGGACAAAGCACAGAAGTGTGATTACCTTCCCAATAAAAAGTGCTATTCAATAATAATTATTTTACTTTGTCACATTAAGATTACATTGAAGGCTGACAAACTATGTAATAAAATTGCAAGTATTCAGAGGGAAACTTGGAGGTGGTAAATCAAAACTTTACCATTACACCGTGAGACTGCGACATTTCGGGATCAACTACTCCAACTTCACTTCTTCACTCAACTTTATTGTCTTCAAAGTTTTATTACTGTAACCCACTACTGTTCTTGAACGTGATCTTCGTAAAAAATATCGCGTATTCATGCATTCGGTATCTAGATGTGTTCTTCCTTCGCAATGAGACGTAATTAATAGTTTAAGAGACATAATTATGAGATAAATTCCAATGTCTTGTAAACCCCCGAAACAAGTGTCTGAAATTGCTCCAAGTTTGATGTATTTGCGCTCGCTCCTCTAGAGATAAATTTGTTCGAAAACTTGCTGAATGTGAAAAGTTTCAAGCGCACTTCAATCCATTACACGAGTGAAATATTTCTTTGTTTTCTGACTTCACTGTGGGAAGACGCGACCTTACAAATCACAAGTTAATCATTAGCGATCCTCGGATTTGCCGTCTCAGTCAATACGATGTCTTTTGCCGCCTGGCAACGGAGGTCAAAGGTGGGAACGGCGAAGGGCGAAGTAAAAATTCGCGTCAAAGACCCCTTCTTTCGTTGTTGTGTCGTGGCTTTCTTAGTATTTTATAAATGCTTGAATGGACATTCAAGCATTTTAGAATAATTGTTTTATTATGTAGTTAAAAATTCTTATCCGTTATTAATAATTGGCAGTAAATATGTACTTTTTTACTTTTCTCAAGAGATAACTTATATTTTAATTGTAAATTTCATTATCAATTTTTATAATTTAGCAGAAAAATAATTATTCATTTATAAGATTTATTGTTTTACTTACATGGCAATTGTTTCAAGTATCAAATTATAAGATAATAGGAAAACAGTATAGTATAAGTAATATTAATTATCAATTTATGTTTATTCACACGTATATGAAAGAAACAAATTACTTCCATCCTATAATAGTTATTTATTTATTTTAAGGTTCGTTTATATATCTACGCTTTAATAATGCGTAAAGACAGCGAGAAGTTCTAATTTTTAATATACTTAAACGTAAATAATACAAATATAAACGGTTATAACACGAATTATAGTTAACATATTTGCTTATCTCAATCTATCTCGCATTTTAAACCGTTAATAGCGTTTTATTTACTACTAACTATGCCTGCGACTTCGTCAGCGCGAAATTGTGACTTGGGGTAGAATTTTTAATTATTTAGGCTGTTTATTAAATATATGTAAGGGCGCATTTAAGGCAGCCAAGCTATGGTAAGTGCCACTTTGCCGCAACACTCTCACCTCACATACTCCTACTGTAACTCCCACTCTCATTCCTACCACCCCACCCACGCCCACCTCTACTCCCAAACCACGAATTTCCATACAAACTTTCATCCCCCTATTAACCCCTTACAACCATCTTTTCGCAATAAAAAGTAGCCTATGTCCTTTCTCAGGGTCTCGACCATCTGAATACCATTTCAATTTCATTCAAATCCGTTCAGTAGTTTTGGTGTGAAAGAGTAACAGACAGACGGACAGAGTTAGTTTCGCATTTATAATATTAGTAAGAATACACGATCGTTCGCATCTTCTTTCATTAGCGGTCACTCATATTCAATATTACGTGTATATCGTGTTTTTTAGCATATGGTATGTATATTGCGGGTATAGTTATATTGAAAATAGCACATTCGTTTTTGATAAAATTTTGCACCGATCAATACCGTGTCATAGTTGAATATGCTTCCGAAGTTCTTTTACTTCTATCTTAATTGGATATTTAAAACAAAATATTGTTATATAATAATGATAATTTTTAATTTTATTACCTCAAAGCTACCATATTTGTCTTTGTATCTTTCTAATAAGTCCAGGAATAGATTGGTTTAACTTAAGCAAATACGAAA